TGAGTTTGGGGTGCTCCTTCCTCTGCAATTTTTTGGAAGAGTTTGAGAAGGATGGGTGTTAGCTCTTCTCTAAATGTTTGATAGAATTCATCTGTGAAGCCATCTGGTCCTGGACTTTTGCTTGTTGGAATATTTTAAATCACAGTTTCAATTTCGTTACTTGTGATTGTTCTGTTCATATTTCTATTTCTTATTTCTTTTTTGATGTGGACCATTTTTAAAGTCTTTATTGAATTTGTTACAATATTGCTTCTGTTTTATGTTTTGTTTTTTTGGCTGTGAGGCATATGGGATCTTAGCTTCCCAACCAGGGGTCGAACCATTACCCTCTGCACTGGAAGGCAAAGTCTTAACCACTTGACTGTCAGGGAAGTCCCCGAGTTATGATAATTTTATACAGTTGTGTAACTATCAGGACAGTCAAGATATAGAACAGTCCACTCACCCTAAAATGTTTCCTTGTGTCCCTTTTATAGACAGTCCCATTCCCCATCCTCAGCCTAGGCAATTCACTGATCTGCTTTCTGTCATTAGTGTCCGTTTCTATAATTTCATGTAAATGGAATCATATATAATATTTTGTGTTTGATTTATTTCACTTAATATATAATGTTTTTTAGATTCACCAATGTTGTTTTATTAATATTTGTTCCTTTTTACTGCTGAGTAATATTCCATAGTATGGACACACCACAACTTGTGTATCCATTCACCAACTGATAGACATTTGGGTTGCTTCTAGATCTTGGCTACTAGCAATAATATTATGTGAACATTGGTGTACACTTCTGTGCCTGTAGTGTACATTTTCATTTCTCTTCGATAAATACCTAAGAGCAAAATCACTGGACAATTATATTTTAAAGAAATTATGAACCTCTTTTTTTTTTTTTTTTTGCGGTACACGGGCCCCTCACCACTGCGGCCTCTCGCGTTGCGGAGCACAGGCTCCGGACGCGCAGGCCCAGCGGCCATGGCTCACGGGCCCAGCCGCTCCACGGCACGTGGGATCCTCCCAGACCGGGGCATGAACCCGTATCCCCCGCATCAGCAGGCGGACTCTCAACCACTGCGCCACCAGGGAAGCCCTACGAACCTCTTTTAACATTTCCTAGAATACAAGTCTGCCTCCACTTGCCACCACTCAAAACAACACGGCACCAAAAGAAGAAAAAGTCCCTTCTTTTTCTTCCATCCTTGTATTGCCCCTCTAGCACATTCTGATGTCAGAGTCTAACACTGGCTAGCCCTAGAATAGTGGTCTATAGAGTCTAGTTTAAGTTTTACAACGCAGGACAAAGGAGGATAGGTTTGGAGTTGAGGAGCAATAAATTAAGAACTGGTACATCCTTTATGTCATGTACGCAACTGTTACCCTGGGATACTCCTTTACCATCATCTTAATGATTCTCTTTGTATCTTTCCTTGATTCCTGATTTCCTGGATCCTGTGTCATTCTCTCTTTTTTGGTTTAGTTTCCCATTTTGATGGGCTACATTCTTCTTTAGCTTTCTGGAAAAGGGTACATAGTATGTAATTTTTTTGAGACCTTGTAAATATGAAAATAATTTTATTTTGCCTTCAGAATTAATTGATAGTTTGGTTGGACAAAATATTCTAGATTGGAAATCACCTCAGTATATTAAAAGTGTTGCTCCATAGTCTTGCAGTTTCCAGTGTTACTCTTGAGGTCCAAAGCCATTCTGATCCTTTGGTGTGACCTGTGTTTTCCTTCTGGAAGCTTATATAATTTTTATCCCCAGTGTTTTAAAATTTTACAGTGTGGTGTCAGTCTCTTTTCATTCATTGTGTTATATACATAGTGGGCCCTTTCAATCTGTTGACTTATGTCCTTCAGTTCTGGGAAAGTTTATAGCATTATGCTGTGATGATTGCTTCCCTGTTTTCTCTTTCCTTGTTTTCTGAAACTCCTATTATTTATTTGTTGGACTTCTTGAGCTGGTCTTCCTTCTTATCATTTCTCTCTTATTTTCTTCTCTTTTTTTGTTCTACATTCTGGGAAATGTTCTCATATTTACTTTTTAAACTAACCTATTGAGTTTTTCACTTCTGCTATTATGTTTTTAGTTACCAAAGCCTCTTTTTTACTCCTTTTCAATTATCTTATTCTCATTTCATGGACTTAAGACTTAACAGCCATTCTTCTTTTAAATATATCAATGACAATTCTAATTTTTTCTCCTGGTTTTCCCAAAGAGTTTATTAGGCAGACCTGGGGATGGGGAGGCCCTGCATCTAAAACAAGGTGTTTTCTCTAGTTGCAGCGAGCGGGGGCTACTCTTCATTGCAGTGCTCGGGCTTCTTATTGCGGTGGCTTCTCTCATTGTGGAGCACGGGCTCTAGTCGTGCGGGCTTCAGTAGTTGTGGCACGCGGGCTCTAGAGCACAGGCTCAGTAGTTGTGGCACATGGGCTTAGTTGCTCCGCGGCATGTGGGATCTTCCCAGACCAGGGATCGAACCCATGTCCCCTGCATTGGAAGGCAGCTTCTCAACCACTGCGCCACCAGGGAAGCCCTGCTTCATTTATTTAAATTCGACTTTATCAAGTCTGCTAAATAGGCTGTCATTCACCTATCTGCTTTACAATTCCAAAATTTTGTTGCATTTGTATCTTCTTCCATTTCTCCTTGTGGAATTTATGCTTCTCCTTGTGGGTTTATGCCTTTTTTTTTTCTTTTTTTGACTGCGTTGGGTCTTCATTGCTGCACACGGACTTTTCTCTAGTTGCGGCAGGTGGGAGCTACTCTTCATTACGGTGCGTGGGCTTCTCATTGCGGTGGCTTCTCTTGTCACAGAGCACGGGCTCTAGGTGCACGCAGGCTCAGTAGTTGTGGCTTGCAGGCTCTAGAGCGCAGCCTCAGTAGTTGTGGCACATGGGCTTAGTTGCTCCGCGGTGTGTGGGATCTTCCCGGGTCAGGGATCAAACCCATGTCCCCTGCATTGGCAGGCAGATTCTTTAACCACTGTGCCACCAGGGAAATCCCTATGCCTTTTTATTTATTTATTTTAATAAATTTGTTTATTTATTTTTAGCTGTGTTGGGTCTTTGTTGCTGCGCCACCAGGGAAGTCCACCTATGCCTTTTTAAGAACTGTTGTTCTAATTGTTTTTTTGGAAGGAACGAAAATAAATACGGGTGTTAAAGTCATCATCTTTATCTGGAAGTCCTATCTATCTATCTGTCTACCTATATATCTTACAATTGCAGAGTATTCCACTGATGGATATGCTAGTTCCCCTTGAGGTGAACTTTCAGGTTCCAACTTTTAGCTATTACAAACCATACTGCAGTTAATAACATTAACATTTTGCACATGTAAAAGTATATCTATAGGATTTTTTAAAAAGATATACACAATGTTTTTGTTTGTTTGTTTGTTTTGTGCTGCGTTGGGTCTTTGTTGCTGCACTTGGGCTTTTCTCGCTCTAGTTGTGGCCAGCGGGGGCTACTCTTCGTTGCAGTGCGTGGGCTTCTCATTTTGGTGGTTTCTCTTGTTGCGGAGCACAGGCTCTAGGTGCGCGGGCTTCAGTAGTTGTAGCACGTGGGCTTAGTAGTTACGGTACGTGGGCCCTAGAACGCACGGACTTCAGTAGTTGTGGCTCATGGGCTCTAGAGCTCAGGCTCAATAGTTGTGGCACACAGGCTTAGTTGCTCCGTGGCATGTGAGATCTTCTCAGACCAGGGATCAAACCGGTGTCCCCTGCATTGGCAGGCGGATTCTTAACCACTGTGCCACCAGGGAAGTCCCACAGTTTTTATTATGAAAGATACTGTCAAATTGTTTCTCCATAGAGGTGTCCCAGTTTACACTCTCCCCCATAATGTACAGAATGTTTCCCTATACCCTTTTGATCTTTGCCAATGTCATAGATGAAGAAAGATGTCTAGGGACTTCCCTGGTGGTGCAGTGGTTGAGAGTCCGCCTGCCGATGCAGGGGACGCAGGTTCGTGCCCCGGCCGGGAAGATCCCGCATGCCGCGGAGCGGCTGGGCCCGTGAGCCATGGCCTCTGAGCCTGCGCGTCCGGAGCCTGTGCTCCGCAACGGGAGAAGCCACAACAGTGAGAAGCCCGCGTATCGCAAAAAAAAAAAAAAGAAAGAAAAAAAAGATGTCTACGGCACTTCCCTGGCAGTCCAGTGGTTAAGACTCCGAACTTCCAATGCAGGGGGCGCGGGTTCGATCCCTGGTCGGGGAACTAAGATCCCACATGCTGTGCGGTGGGGCCAAAAGGTAAAAAAAATAAAATAAAGAAAGATATCTCATTTACCTTTAATATTTATTTCTCTTATTAAAGTGAGATGGAGCATTTTTCATATGTGTAAGAGCTATTTATTTATATTTCCTTTCTTGTGAACTGTTCATCTCCTTTGCCTATGTTTCTACACTGTTACTGATCTTTTTCATAATTCATTGTAGTAGCTTTTTATAAATGTTACTAGAAAAATTCTACTGTAGCTCAAGATATGACATACATATTCTTTCTAGCTGTTTTGATTTGTATTTGATTTTGCTTTTGGCGCTTTTTTCCTCTGGGTCCCCACCCCCCAATATTCTTCATCTCTAGCAGAACTTAAAAAAATTTTTATGTGGTAAAGTATAGGTTTTTCTTTTATGATTTATTGATTTTTTGTAATACTTGGAAAGGTATTCCTCCCATTGAGAATATTAAAACATCATGGTTTCTTTTAGAACATATATAATTTCATTTTTTTATATTTAAATATTTAGTTAATTTTTACTTTATTTTTGTGTAAATTGTGAGATATGTATTCAGTTTATCTTTTTCCCAAGTTGACTACCCAATGTCCCCAAATCATTTAAAGAATATTCTCCCCTTCCTTCCTAATGTAAACTACCCCCTTTATAATGTATATTCTATTGACAACCATAAACTTTTTCTGCATTATTTAAAGGGAGTGTAAATTGAATTATAAAGCAAATGATTATTTTGAAATTATTTACTTATTTTTACATTACAGGAAAGAGTACAAAGAGAAAAATATAAGGATTATGTTTCATCTATGAACATAAATATTCAAAATACATTGAAACACCTCCATGCAGATAGCAGTGGTGGAGGTTCCAAAGCAGAAGATAGGGATAAAAGCCAGTCTAGAAAGCTTCAGAGTTATAAGTCCCATGAAGTCATGTCCAAAGCATGTACAAATGATGATCAAATGAAGACCCTGTTAAAGAGTGCAAATCCAGTTAATGCTTGTTATAGGGAGAGTGAGCAAAATAAGACTTTATGTAAAGCCAATTCAAGCTGCAATCAAAACTTACGTGAAGAAACAACCTTTGAAAAAAAGAATTTTGTTTCTCAATCAAGGTATAGTTTAATAATTGTTTCTAACTTTTATTTATTCAGCATTTGTGTGTGTGTGTGTAGTACTATGTGCCATACTCTTAAACACTGGGATATAGAAATGATAAGCATGGTTTTAGGAGGAGCCTAATGTAGGAAATGTTGGGAAAGGAGTTTGGATGGACCAGTATGGGCCAGTTTATCTAGGGCCTTGCATGTAATACTACTCAAGATTTTCTGTTATAACTTATAGAGTATAGGGAGCCGCTGACGATTTTAAATTGAGTGACACGATCAGATTTGAATTTTAGAAGGGATACTCAAAACTTAAACTGAACCTCTGTAGCTGAAATAACAATGCACATATTGATAATCCATCAGCAATTTAGCAAAAGCCAGTTTGTAAGTTTAACTTGATAAAAGGGAGTAAGGAGTGATGAAAATCTGGTTTAGGCTTGTCTTTTCATTTGTTCCCTGTACCTCACCTCCAGTGTGTGTCCTTTCTCGCTCATGGGTAGCCTGTGGGGCTGGACCTGGAATTGCAGCTTTTCTTCCTAAAGCCTTTCTTGTGTTCTGCTCTTCTGATAGTTACTGGGCTAGGAGGGAAACTGAAGAGAATGGTGCTATGTTCTGGGGAGGCTGCAGGGTAAACTAAGTGTTAGACAGATGGATTACATCATCACACCCCCTTTTTCCTTTTCAAAACCGTTCTTCATGTAATTTTAACCCGATTTCTCAAGGATATAGAATTGGGAAGTAGTGGGATATGCTCTTGGGCCAACCTTCTTGCCCTCTGGCCCAATGAATTTGTTATTTCCTCTTTTTTGCTCTCCTTCCTTCCTATTTTCCTCTTTTATAACTTTTTATTCCATGTTTCTGCTGGCATCAGTATTATTGACCTCTGGAGTCTTGTTTAACTCCACTTTTTTTTTTTTAAATTGAAGTAGAGTTGATTTACAATGTTTCAGGTGTACAGCAAAGTGATTCAGTTATATATATATATATACACACACACACACACACACACACACACACACATACACACATATATATACTTTATCAGATTCTTTTCCATTATACATTATTACAAGATATTGAATAAAGTTCCCTGTTCTATACTATAGGTCCTTATTGTTTATCTATTTTTTATTATATATAGTAGTTAACTCCACTTTTAGAAACAAGGCTATAACCATTGCATACCATACTTTGGCAGAATTTGGTAGATTTTGGTAGATCCTGACTCCAGCTCTTTATGCCTGTCAAACATCAGAATCACACTACTGCTTATGGAAAGATTTGTTCACATACCAAACAATATGTTTACTTTTATTAATCTGGTGTCTATTTTCTTTTAGCGACCATATTTTTAAACATCCAACTCCTATTGGCAAAAACACAAAGCAACAGTTACCAGTAACAGGTATGACTACAAATGTTTCTTCTTTGATTGTTCAAGAAAACATATTTAGGTGATTAATATAGCTAAAAGTAATATCTTCCCTCTAACATATAAGCCATGCCTTTGACTCTCTTTCTGGTCTAAACGCCTCAGTCACCTTTTATTGATATCCTTTCCATATATCCACCAGGATGACTGGAAGTGGAGTACTGGGCTACAGTTTATGAAACTCTTGAGAATTAATAAATCTTATAAATGTCAGGTCCTTTTCACTAATCAAAAATATCTTTCATTTTGCAATTTTTTTCCCCAGATCCATTGACATTATGTTCAGATATAATAAATAAAGAAGTCATTGGTTTTCTAGCAACAGACAATTGTTCCAAAATATTGAAGTATAGATGCTCAGGTAAATATTTTTTTAATTGTAGTTGTTTCATAATTAAAGCTTTATATGATGTTAATTAACTAGAATTTGTAATAGTTCTACCTGTGTGATTTAAAGTTCATTCCCTTTGGAGAAATAACAATCTGGGGTCTCATAAAACACTCGAATTATTACCTTCTATCTGCATTAGTCTGTGTTCCCAGTATTTGCTCATATGAATCAATACAGCTAATACTCTTTTTTCTTTTTTTGAATTTTATTTTATTTATTTTTTTATACAGCAGGTTCTTATTAGTTATCCATTTTATACATAATAGTATATATATATCAATCCCAATCTCCCAGTTCATCACAGCACCACCACCCCCCTCCAGCGATTCCCCACTTCGTGTCCATACGTTTGTTCTCTACATCTGTGTCTCAATTTCTGCCCTGCAAGCCAGTTCAGCAGCTAATACTCTTAAAAAATTACTTTATTATTCTCTTTCTGTCACCATCTATAAGTTTAACTTTACTGAGTAAGGTAAACATTTTTTATATTTTCAGAGAGCCAATAAATAGGTATATGTTCTGGATTATAAATAATCCAGAATTCCACAATGCTTATTCCATCCCTTCTTCTCCTTCATATCCCAGTATTTGCTCTTTGTTTACTCTTACTGTTGCACCCTGCTCTTTGGAGAAAACTGAGGCTATTCCACATTAGGCTCAAAATATTACTATTCTTCTGTCTTAGATGAAGGGTTTATCTCTTTTACTCTAAAACTGATATCTAGCTATAATCCAAATCCCATCTATGTTTTCTCCCCATTTTATAATAATACTTGTGTAGGCTTTCTCTTTAGTCCCTTTCTATTCATTACCTCCATTTGTCCCACCTTAAACTATGTTCATTTCTCCTCATCTTAAAAAATACCCAAATACTTTGTGTGATTTGCTATCCCTTCAAGTATTCATCTGTTCTTTCTTCCACCATCTATTACCAGATTCCTGCTCTTGTTCCCTTCTCTTTCAGCGTATTCTTTCCCTTCTTAACTCCCTGCAGTCTAGCTTCTTTTATTGCCATTCTACTAAACTTTAATGTTAAAGGTTACCTGAAACCTCTTTTTTAACCCCCAAACCAATGACTTTTTAAAAGATTCTTATTGTCTTTAGTATTTCTGCACTGTCAACTACCATTCCTTGAAATCCTCTCCTCTCATTTGAAAACCATAGTTCCCAAACTGTCCACCTGAGCTCCCTGGGGCTCTGCAGTGAACTCACAAGGGCACTACACAATATTTAAAATTTCATAAGTGAAACACAAAATGGCCAACATCTCCTGGACACCACGTAAACTACTAGCTCAAAGTAGTTCACAGTTTCACCATTAGATTGTACTACATCTCTTTTGATGATGTCACATCTTTGTGAAGCTGGGTTTTCAGTGGTTGTTGTGATTTTTTAATTAATTTATTTATTTATTTATTTATTTTTGGCTGTGTTGGGTCTTTGTTGCTGCACGCAGGCTTTCTCTAGTTGTGGCAAGCGGGGGCTACTCTTCGTTGTGGTGTGCAGGCTTCTTACTGCGGTGGTTTCTCATTGTGGGCATCAGTAGTTGTGACACACGGGCTCTAGAGCACAGGCTCAGTAGTTGTGGTGCAGGGGCTTAGTTGCTCTGTGGCATGTGGGATCTTCCCAGACTAGGGTTCGAACCCGTGTCCCCTGCATTGGCAGGTGGATTCTTAACCATTGCACCACCAGGGAAGTCCCAGTTGTTGTGATTTTTAAAAAGCAAGCACCACGTGAAAATCTGTGGAACAGGAAATGAGGGTGGCAGTGTCCAGTCTGATTACAAGTTTTGAGAACTTGTGCTGTACCCAAATGTTGCACAAATCCCATTAGGAAGTAATTGTAATTAATAAGAATGAAATACAAATATATATATATATATTTCAAATTTAGGTCTATTATTTTTTTAAATGGCTACCAAGTTGTTAGAACATAAATACGTATTGAGTTGTTTTGGACCTAACAGAACATTTGGTATTTCTTTTGGCCTAAGGGTGCTGTGAAAAAATCACCAAGATCTTTTTTTTTTTTTTTAATTTTTTTTTGGCTGTGTTGGGTCTTCATTGTTGCGTGCGGGCTTTCTCTAGTTGCAGTGAGTGGGGGCTACCCTTTGTTGCAGTGCGTGGGCTTCTCTTGCTGCAGAGCGCGCGCTCTAGGTGCAGGGGCTTCAGTAGTTGCGGCATGTGGGCTCAGTAGTTGTGGTGCACAGGCTTAGTTGCTCTGCAGCATGTGGGATCTTCCTGGACCAGGGATCGAACACGTATCTTCTGCATTGGCAGGTGGATTCTTAAGCACTGCGCCACCAGGGAAGTCCCAATCACCAAGATCTTAAAGATGCCACAGAGTGAGACAGTTGGGAACCTCTGGTCAAAAATATTCCAGTTCATAGAATGGATGCTCTATAACTGTTAACTCCCTTTCATCCCTTAGTTTGTTTGAGATAGTTCCTTCCGAGTTGCTTTGCTCCCTCAGTGACCATTCATTTTGCAGACACTTAGGGAGTGCTTATTCTGCAGCAGGCACTGGAATCAGAGATGAATAGAACTCAGTCCTCACTTCAGGAAGTTTACAGTCTATAAAGCTCTCCATTTTATTACCTTTATTCCTTTATCTTATCTTCCTGCCAAATTTCTACAGATACTCCCCCCAATATATAGTCTACAGCACTTACTCAACTCTGCTGCAGCATCATAGATGCAGCTGGCATCATCTATCATTTTACCAGTGATTTTCAAATCTGTATCTCCATACTTCACTTCTACTTCGGGTTATAGCCTCATTCTTCCATATCCAGCTGTACCTAGGACATACTCACTTTAATATTTTGTTATTTCAAGCTTAATGTATTCAAAATAAAACATCTTTCTCCCTCTTAAACTGCCCCCCCTCCAGCCACTCCATTTTTATTAGTGTTGCCATTATTCTTCTGGCCCCCCATATTTCAAACCTTGAATCATCTATAACTATCTTTTCTCCTTACATCCCCTATTTCTAGTCTATCATATTTGGTTCTTTCTTTCCCACACAGGCCCCTTTTCCTTCATGCCTAAATTACTAGCAGTCTTTCAGTCTCAAGTCTCACCAACCCCCAAGTAACGTGTATTGCTATTAACTTCTCTTCCTCATATGTGCTTTGTATCATGTCACCATGCTAAATAACCCTCAGCGCTTCTCTGTAACTCACTAAATCAAACTCTCTGCCTGGCTTTCAGAATTGTGTGGAACTTTGTCCTGCTTCCACTTGTTAAATTTTACTGCAATTTGTTCTGTTTAAGTCCACCAGAAATGTGCCATGCTTATTCCAAACTTTGCCATTCGATCCATTACAATCGAATTGTCCTAAATGTCTCCCTTACCCCGACAGCTCATTATTCACCAATTTTACCTCAGAAATCTCTGCATTCTCCCTGCAAATGCTGTGTTTCAGAATCTCCTTATTTATCTGGACTGTTTAAGTTACCCCTCAACTGATCCTCTTACCTTCAGTTGAGCTTTCTGTAGACAAATCTTGTCATTTCCCTGCTTAATAAATATCCATCAGTTCTTCCCATTGACTTGACGATAGTAGTTAAAAATCCTTAAGATGACTTTCAAGACCGTTTTTGACCTGGCCCCTTGCAACCCTTACTAACCTCAACTTTTCTCCCACAGTTCTCTCATACCTTATACTCCAGCCACACACAGTACCTGTGATTCTCTGAACATACTATGCTTTTTTACTCTTCTGTGCTTTTGACGTGTTCTTTGTACTTGAAATGTCCTCATCCTTGCCAACTTTCTGCCTGGCTAACTTTTCCTGTAGGTGACAGGTGGATAGAGAACTTTATAATGGATGGATGTGGCTAACATTACCTGAACCTACTGATCAATCTTAATATCATAAAAAGAGAGATAGTCAAACTTTATGTTCCTGTTAATGTGATGCAGTAAGAAGTACACAATACTACCTGTGAGGAGTTCTACTAAAAACAATTGAACCTGGGCTTCCCTGGTGGCGCAGTGGTTGAGAGTCCGCCTGCCGATGCAGGGGACACGGGTTCGTGCCCTGGTTGGGGAAGATCCCACATGCCGCGGAGCGGCTGGGCCCGTGAGCCATGGCTGCTGAGGCTGCGCGTCCGGAGCCTGTGCTCCGCAACGGGAGAGGCCGCAACAGTGAGAGGCTTGTGTATCGCAAAAACCAAAAAAACAAAAACACACAAAAAAACAATTGAACCTGAATCTGATCAATCATCTAGATCTAATTACAGGTTTCTTGGGCACACAGGAATATTTTAAAGGATGCAGCTAGGATGTAATCAGCAAAACCCAGCCTTTGGGAAACTGCACATTACAAATGACCCAGGGTCTACAACAAGTAAATGACAAAGAGGAAGAGAGGAGAATTGGTAGATTAAAAGAAACTCAAGAGACATACCAGCTGAATGTAAGGGCGGACCTTGTTTGGATCATGATTCAAATAAACCAACTGTAAAGAGAAAGTTTTGAAATGATGGGGAAATTTGAACACTGACTGGATATTAGATTATATTAAGCATAATTTTCTTAGGTGTAATAGTGGTTTTGCCATTAAAAAAAATAAAACAAAGTAAGTGTTTTTTTTAAAAAGAGTTCTTATCTGTTAAGAATGCATATGAAGTATTTACAGATGAAATGATACTAGAATGCAAATTGCAGCCTTCATAATCCAGTATGTACATGGGGGGCAGAGCTGAGTAGGTGGGGGAAGATAAAATATGACAGACCATGAGTTAATAATTGTTGAAGCTGGATGATGGATACGTGGTGGGTAATTATACTTTTCCCTTTATTCTCGTGTGTTTGAAATGTTCCATAGTAAAACATTAAAAAAAAGAAGAAGAAAAAAAAGACGACTGGGCATAAGGGTCACTTCCTTTGGACATCTTCCCTGATAGTGACTCCTGCTCAGAATTAGTCCAAGGTAGATGCTGCTTTTCTATATCACCATAACTCTGTTCACACCGCTATGGCAACAGTTATTTCACTGTATTATATTTGGTGTCTTTACTCTCTCACATGACATGACTTGGAGTTTCTTGATGTATTTATAATTAAGTTGCTGATTTCACTTCAGTTACCATCATAAAGATATTTGCTTTCATAAATTTGTTATTAGATTTTTTGTAACATCTGTACATCACTTAAATTTGTTTCCTTTTAGGTTGCATAGCAGTAGGAAAATCCCTGAATAGCCGAACTTTTAGCAAGCTGTTACACTCTTGCCCATACCAATGTGATCGTCACAAAGTCATTGTGGAAGCTGAAGACAGATATAAAAATGGACTAAGGAAATCACTTATCTGTAACAAAAGTAATTAATTCAGCAATTTTAAAACTGTAATTATAGTAAGTGAGAAAGAGAAAAACAAATACCATATGCTAACACACATGTATATAGAATCTTAAAAAAAAAAAAAAAATGGTTCTGTGGAACCTAGGGGCAGGACAGGAATAAAGACGCAGACATAGAGAATGGAGTTGAGGACACGGGGAGGGGGAAGGGTAAGCTGGAACGAAGTGAGCGAGCGGCATGGACATATATACACTACCAAATGTAAAATAGATAGCTAGTAGGAAGCAGCCGCATAGCACAGGGAGGTCAGCTTGGTGCTTTGTGACCACCTAGAGGAGTGGGATAGGGAAGATGGGAGGGAGATGCAAGAGGGAGGAGATATGGGGATATATGTATATGTATAGCTGATTCACTTTGTTATACAGCAACAACTAACACAACAATGTAAAGCAATTATACTCCAATAAAGATGTTAAAAAAACCCAAAACTGTAATTATAACCATACCTTCTGAACTATGATCTAGAACATTAAGTATATTAAAAGATAAAGGGTAAAATAATGTTGAAAAGAAAATCTGGGGCTTCCCTGGTGGTGCAGTGGCTGAGAATCTGCCTGCCAATGCAGAGGACACGGGTTTGAGCTCTGGCCTGGGAAGATCCCACATGCCGTGGAGCAACTAGGCCCGTGAGCCACAATTACTGAGCCTGCGCGTCTGGAGCCTGTGCTCCACAACAAGAGAGGCCGCGAGGCCATGATAGTGAGAGGCCCGCGCATGGCGATGAAGAGTAGCCCCCGCTCGCCACAACTAGAGAAAGCCCTCGCACAGAAACGAAGACCCAACACAGCCAAAAATAAATTAATTAATTAATAAAAAAAAAAAAAGAAAATCTGTCTCTGAGCAACTGTGATTTAAAATGTTCCCAGGGAGTAGGTTTAGTCTCTAGTAATTTAAAAATTCTTCCTAATCCACCTAAGGATTCCCATTAGAAGAGGGAAAAAGGGAATATCATACTAATGGAATTGATGTGATACTACTCAGATTGATACTCTAAGTACACTAAATGTTTTCTGTATTTTTCAGAAATTCTGCTGACCCCACGTAGAAGAGGAAAACTCAATAATGAATCTACTACCCCTGGAGGAATAAGTGAATATATTTAATTTTTAAATAAATATAAATTTCATATATTCCTGAAAAAGAACAGCTGAATGATTGTTCTCAGTCACATCATTAATGGCTTTTAAATGATAACCCTTGCTTCTGATGAGGGTCATACTTCCTGACAAAAGAGGCTTCCCTCTTCCCTTTTTCATGTTGCTTGCTCATCTATTACTTTTCATCTGGGGAAGGGGCAGGAGAAAACTAACATTTATTAAGAACCTCCTATGTGTTAGGTGTTTTATACATGTTATTTGCTTTATTTCATATAATAACATTGTAAGATAAGGTATTATTTTATTCCCACTTTAATTTGTTTTCTTTTAGGTTGCATAGCAGTAGGAAAATAGCCGAAATTTGCCAATGAGTTGGCAAATGGCAGAACTTAGATTCAAATGCAAGCCTGTCTTTCTCCAGAATCCCCTTTTCTATCCTCCGGATCACTTTTCTGTTTTAAGAGCAAAATTATTCTCCTATGCACAAGTGCTTCAGACAAATTTTGTGGAAGATTTTGGTTCACATCTGTAGCACTTTGAACAATCAAAATTGAAGAGACAAATAGTATAAACCTTAGAGCCCTGTTTAAAAATTAAAATATTTCTAAACTATGAGTTAATTTACAGGAGTTTTTCTTTAACTACAGGGTTAATCACCATTTCAAATTTATCACAAGACTTAAAGAACATTACCATTATCTTCGGTTCATATGGAATTAGTATGTGCAGAGTAAGACTAAGCAGTTGAGTACACTCCTTGTCAAAGTCACTTTGAAATTAGTATTATCTGTAGAGCCATTCAGTTATTTATTGTGAAGACATTTGGACTTGATCCATACAAGAAACATTTTGCCACATACTTTTGTTTGGCCATTTTCACTGCCAAAACCTTGAAAGAAATTTCAAATTTACTTTTTATAACTAGGTCTTTTTCTAGGTTAAAATTTCTGCATACAAATTAAAATTAAGTGCAGTACCACTACAGGGTAGCCCACTTTTTGAAGTAATATTTTCTGTAGAAACTGTTAGAGAATGGGTATTTTTCCATAGAAACATTGCAGTTGGAAATCTTTTTGACAAGGAGTTGGCATCAAATAATAGAATTTCTTTTTTTTTTTTTTTTTTTTGCAGTACACGGGCCTCTCACTGTTGTGGCCTCTCCCGTTGCGGAGCACAGGCTCCGGACGCGCAGGCTCAGTGGCCATGGCTCATGGGCCCAGCCGCTCTGCGGCACGTGGGATCTTCCCAGACCGGGGCACAAACCCATGTCCCCTGCATCGGCAGGCAACTGTCAACCACTGCGCCAGCAGGGAGGCCCAATAATAGAATTTCTTGAGCAGCATGTCTTAAAAGCAAATATATAACAACTAAAAGTATTCTATAATCATTTTTCATAGTAAAATCATTTGCAGAGCATCATGAAATATACATAATTATGGTTATATATTGATTATACAGAGGGATCCTAAATATTTTTAAGTCACTTTAAGCTCGTAAATACCTACATCTTTTTTGTAGGTTCGAGTTGCTTAGCTAAAATCCAATAGTTAATAAGTTGGCCTGCTTTTTTCAAATTTAGAAAGACATCTTGAGGAGGTAGTGATTAGATTGGTCTTATATCTCTTTTACAAGCAGGCCAGGAATATTTGATGTACTGCCATTTTTCCCCCTCTTAATAAATTTCCCTTTCATACTAGAGACATTCATCACCTTTCATTTGGTTATAGGTCACACTCAAATTTGAGACTCTTCTTTTGAGAAGGGACCATTTGCAGTATCTAAGTATTTAAAGAGCCTTGGGGGCAAGGCTCTCTTTTAGGATGGATTGATATCTTGAGAGGGTTTGAAAAATAAGTCTCTAGGACTGAGCCCTCTTGCCTATTTTTCCCTGCTTTTTTCTAATGCCCAGTCAGTATTAGGAGGAGCACTAAAGAAGTCACAGAAGAGAGTCTTGTGGTATAGAGAGCTGTTTCCTTCTTCTAGTCTGTCAACTATGCTGCTGTGGTAACCTTTGAGGTATTTGGCACAGATGCTAATTTAAGTGTAGAAGTCAGTGAGATGGCAACTGCAGGGGAAAAGTGGGGATTGGCTATACATGAACACCCCCAGGACCCAATATCTTGAATGTTATAATAACCCATCTGGTCCTGATTATAATGAGTTCAAATCATTTAGCAAGTGAAGTTGAAATCATCTATTTCTCGGATAACCACAGTTTTCCAGTAGACCCAAGTAAGAATTAACTTCATTGATAAGTTTTAAAACAGTTTTTACTGGTAGTAACATTTTTCTGTCAACAAATATTTATTGATCACCTACTATGTGTCAGACACTGTCTTAGGCACTGGGGACACATGGGGAGTAAAACAGACAAAAATCCCAGTCTTCATGGAGCCTGCATTCTAAGGAATACCATTAAGTAATATTTAGACATTATTTTCATTGATATCTTGGCCTTCTGCTGGTAAGATTTTTCCCTCCTGCTTTAAAAGATCTGAACTATGGCTCCTATCTGAGGAGAGATGGACTAACAGTCATGACATGCAAAGGCAAGATTTTCGAAGGTTGTCCCAGCATAGCTATTCAAGGTCCTACTAAAGTAAATAGCAGACTTAATTGGAAATACAAAAACTCTTCCTCATCTGCATCTACCCACAATGATAATGTGCATTAACAGTGAATTAAAAAGCTTAAGGGACTTCCCCGGTGGTCCGGTGGTTAAGAATCCACCTTCCAACGCAGGGGATGCGGATTCTATTCTATGAAGTTATGGAGCCCTTTGGGAAGACTGTATCTGTAAGATAGGTAAGCTGTTTGTTAACTGTCCTCACAGGAATGTTGAGAGAATTAACAATCAAATGTTTATAAAATTTTGTGTTTCTTGATTGAAGGATTTTGCGAATATTATCGCAATAGGATTGTTACAATTATTGAAGAGATCACAGTGATAGCATCTAGTTTAATAGTAAGCACTCAGTTTTGTTTTGTTTTAATTGAAGTGGATTTCTATATGATGAGTAGTCCAGGCATGAAGTTTTCTCACTGTGTAATCCATATCCTTAGAATAAGTTAAGCATTTATTTGGGTCTCAAGAACTCTTTTTTCAGCAAGTACTAATGTATTCTACAATTCTCATTAATTGCAGAAAAAAGAAGAATTCGTAAAAACTTTACTGAAGAAGAAGTAAATTACCTTTTCAATGGAGTTAAGAAAATGGGAAATCACTGGAATTTAATTTTGTGGTCTTTCCCCTTTCAGCAAGGACGGAAGGCTGTGGACCTTGCTCACAAATACCACAAGCTGACCAAACGCCCCAAGTGTGTGGCTCCTTGATTGGAAGACTTGTTAGTTTTTAGTTTGATATCTTAAAATACAGTGTGCTGAAAATACAAAATTTTAAATATTCTTATAAACTCTTATGAGGCAGGAAATGTGGCAATGGGGATACTGTTTTAATTACTTTTTGTGATGCTGTAGCTCATCAAACTATTAAAATAATTTATAAAACAAATACACTTTTGGATTTCCCTGGTGATCCAGTGGTTAAGACTCCACACTTCCAATGCAGGGGACATGGGTTTGATCCCCAGTCAGGGAACTAAGATCCCACATGCCTCGCAGCACGGTCAAAACAACAACAATAACAACAACAACAAAAATTGTTTAAAACAACTTTTTATTGTTTGCTTTTAAGTTAGTTTTCTTCAAGTTGGAAACCAAACTATTAGATCTCAAACTTCTATTTTTCTTACTCTTTTTATATTCCATCATGCTGATGCATCCTCCATTATACCTAAAATGCTGTTGCTATGGCAAAGTGATCAAGTATCAGGGCATGAAAGCTCAGTTGTGCTTATGTACTCATTGGGTCACTGCTTCATGTCATTCATATAAATACCAAAGGGTATTTCCCTATAAGCATGTATTCTTTCACCTTTCAGATCATGACTATGTCTACTTAGATAAAGCAGAATTTTTATTAAATATCTTTTATTCTGATCCACAATGAAAATTCCAGAGGGTTAATAAGCAGAAAAATTTTAAGCATGAGAATAATTTACAATTAGGAAAATTCTTTGTATCATTTAAAGTGTGAATGACTCTAGTCCATTATCTGTCAGTATTTCCTAAGCACTATGGGGATGATTTAAATGATCTGCTGGGTTATTTTGATGTGTATTTCTCAAGATGTATGAATGTTGTTTTAGGTCAAAGGGGAAAATATTTTGTCTGTTGCCTCAGCCTTACTGGCAATAGTTTTTTTTTTTTTTTGATTGATTGGAAATTATCTATGTAACAGGAAATCAAATACTACTTACAGAGCATCCCCAAGAGTATGACATACTGTAGCTGGGACACTGTTTTGTGTCAGTCACTGACACTATATTTAAAATAACCTATACTGCCTTCTGAAACCTTGAAATCTTATCCTAACCCTTGGCTAACTTTTGGTTAATGTGAACTGCTTTTTTCCCTCAAATAGAATTTGGTAGTAAAGTAAGTGAATACACATCAAAAGGAAAGCCAAAGAATGATCACATATTAGAGGACTGTTTGACTTTAGGGACTCAGACCTGGCCAGTTCAACAGGGAATAAAAAGGGATTTCAATAATGTCAGACCCTTGGAGTTGGGGCTGACCTCAGTTATAGTTCCCTGCCGGAGGCATAAACTGCTGTACAACGATCTGGACATTGGCTATCTTTAGTTTTGCATATATCCTCAGAAACCTGGAATTTACTATTTCACAGGGTGATAATTGATGGTCAGTTCTTCGTTATGCTAAAATGAAATATACTTTTCTGGAGTACCTCCTGCAGAACCACAAAAGTTGAATCTCTTTTCCACATACCAGCCCTTGAGAGAGTTACAGATAGATATCTATCACTTTCTCCTCTACATCCTTTATCCTTCATGCTGATGAGCCCCAGCTACTTCCTGTTTCAGCTGAACAGTGTCATGTCCCCTTATGAGCGTAGTCACTGACCACTGGATACCTTTTTGTTTATAAACTGTGTCCAGAAAGAAATGTGGCCTGACTGGCAGAGTAGGGGGATCAGCTTCTTTGCTAGGACCAAAGAGGTTTTATGGACCTTACCTAAGATACTTCTTGGCATTCTACATGACCAACTCTCCGATTATAGTTGATATAGTTAAGACTTATAATTTTTATTAATTTCTATCTTGTTCTTACACATTTATTTTTAACTCCACTACAGGACTTCAGTGGCCCCTGTTAAATTTAATCTTGTTAGAATTAGTTTGTACTCGGTTTGTCATCCAGTGTGTTAGGCCTCCCTTCCTGCTTCAGGTCATCCACAGCTTCTGTGAGTGTGCTGCTGCATTCTCATCCAAGTCATGGATGGCACCCTGAATTGGCTGGGTCAGGGCAGGAGATTGGGCCAGGTCCCTAGCAGCCTCCTCTGGTGGTCCTTGCTCATCAGCCCCCTCTGGGCCTGGTCTTTAACAAGCCTCAACACTATCATCCAGCCTACATTTCACTGTCTTGTCTATGATGTGCATTGGCAAATGCCCTGTTGAAATCTGAATTTTCAAGGTCTGCAGCATCCTCCTACCTGCTATTCCTGCAAAATAGAAACTGTGTAAATCTGGTGCTGTCTTTTCCTTTTCCAACTGGTCACATTAGAGAATTTCACCTAGGGCTGATGAAGTTCACTAGCCTGTAGTTTTCAACTCCATCTTTTGTTCTGTGAAAATTCAGACACTGCTTACCGTTTTATGACTTAGAGCACTTTTCCTGCTCTTCCTAGATTTCCAGGGTATAATTCTTAATAGGTTTTCACTCCCATTGTCTTGTTTGAACCTTATATTCAGGTTGGCAGATGATATGCCCATTTGTTGGATCTGCCATAATTCATGCTGCCAAAATTCTGGCAGAGTCAGGATCAGAATCCTACTCATCTGGATCCCACATACATGGTTGCTTTTCTGACATATCCTACTTTCGTGTGATATTTAGAAATGCCTTGTAAAATGCCTCTGCTTCCGCAGAGGCTAGCAAGAGCCCTCAGGTAGCGGCCAGACCTAAAGTGAAACTCGATAGGCGAAATGTATTTTTTCTTTCCTTTTCTTCCAGTACCCTCTTCCTTCCCCTTCTCTCCCCTGTCCCTTCCCCCTTCATATCTTTTTTCCTTCCTTCCTTCCTTTCTTTCTCTTTTTCTTTCTTCTTTCCTGAAGAAAGGAAATTAAAGCCTCCTATTTCTGGTGTCAAATGCTGGCTCCCAGAAAATATCATTAAGAAAAACCAAACACCTGTTTATAAGTAAAATCAAGCGAATTACTCACTACAGTAAAGATCACTACCTCGTGGTCTTAATAGGGTCAAGGAAGGAGGAGGTGAAAAGCAGGATATTTGTGAGGATTTGGGGGTCTAGTTTAAGCCCGGTCTTTCAATTCGTGGTTCGATTAGGATTAAGCAAAGTTCTTGATAGAATAGGTTAAGATCGGTAAAATTGGAAGTACAGGGATGCTATCAGAAGATAGCCAGAAAGCACTGGGTCCTTGGTCAGGTTTCTCAAGATTTCTGAGCTTCAAGTTCCTCACCCGTAAAAGAGTTAGACAAGATTTAGTGAGATATCCTGTACTGATCTCATCCCAAGACCTGAGCTTTTCGCTTCAGTCCGTCGGGTGCCTCGGCCCCAGACGGCGCAGCTGGAGCGGCCAGCTGACGGAGGACCGGGAACGGGTGTATTTACGCCCCTCGGCCGGCAGAGGCCGCTAGCGCGCCCTCCACCCGGGTGGCTCCCGCTCGCGCCGCCGCCTCCCAGAGCAGGGCTGCCCCGGCGGCCGCCTGATCGCCGCCCACCTCCCGCCACCGCGTTGGCCTCAAGACCCTGCGGGAGCCGCGGACATCGCAAGCCCGGCGGAGCGCGGCGGGCGGCGCGGACCCTGCGGGGCGGGCGGCTGGGGGCGCGGCAGGCGCGGGCGGGCCGGCGGGGTCCTCGCGGGTCCTCGGCGGGCCCGGGGGAGGGCCCTCTTTGTGGCTGCAGTTGGCAAGATGGCGCCGGTGGGGGTGGAGAAGAAGCTGCTGCTGGGCCCTAACGGGCCCGCGGTGGCGGCCGCCGGCGACCTGACCACTGAGGAGGAGGAGGGCCAGAGCCTATGGTGAGACCGCGAGGCGGCCGGGCTGGGCTGGCCGGGCCGGACCGTCGGACAGACTTAACGGGCCGTCGCGGGCCAGTCAGGTTCAGGCTGGCCCCAGGGCCGACCGCTGTGCCATTGTCTCCACAGGTCTTCGATCCTGAGCGAGGTGTCCACCCGCGCCAGGTCCAAGCTGCCGTCCGGCAAGAACATCCTGGTTTTCGGTGAGCGCCGGTGGCGGGGCGTTGCCCGGGGAGCTGGGGTGGGCGAGGCGGGCGCCCTCTCACTGGTGCCAGCCTTCCTCTCCCCTGCCGCCTGCCCGGGAGAGCCTGGAGACCCTGGCTGGACAGCCTGAGAGTGGCCAAGTCCACCACGGCCGAGGCCAGGACGTTGCCCCTTTTCGAGAGCCCAGGGATGCTGGCAAGGGCTCGTCGGCACATTCCATAGTCTTTTGGCCGCAACATCAGCTTTGCTTTAAATGTCCCTGACTTGCTGCGCTCATAGCCTCGAAGTTCACCGAACTGCGGGCGTAGAGAGGGGAGGGAGTAGATGAGGTTAGCGGAGGAGGCGGGCGAACGAGGTGACTGGGGGTCGTCGGGCTGTGGGGAGATGCCACAGGAGCCATTTCTCTATCTTGATGAGCGGTGCACGGTGGGAGGGGCGCTGCAAAGGACAGCAGGACTTGGAGTCTTCCCCAGGGACTTTTCCTACATTATTTTAGCCTTCACTGCTGGGTTACCTGGGTTAGGTCTCTCAGCGTCTCTGGTCTCCTTTCCTCATACAAGTAAGGGAGTTTGGCTGGGTTCATTTATACAGCAGACCCATTTGTTGAGTGGGTCGTTTACTGTCGGTTGGGCACTGGGACAGCATAGACATTCCTCAGACACTACATGTCAGTGTAGTGAGACACAGATAGATGTGTTGGTGATTGCACTACACCATGTTGGGCATAGACAGATGATTTGGGGCACATCATATGGCTTGATGCTGTTTGGAGTTAGGTGTTTTGAAGGGTAGGTGTTAACGTGTAGGGGCCCAGAGGTTTAGTGTTTGCAGGAATACAGAGGTGACAAGGCAAGGCGGGGGTGTTGGAAATTACCACAGCCTCCTTGTGGAAGGTGTCTGATGAGGTAAGTTCAAGGCAGATGGTGGAAGGCTGAAGAGTCGATGCTTTTTCCTGAAGGCGCCCGATTCTCAAGGGCCTTTTATTTTACCTCCATCCTCTGATTCTCACGGGAATCACTGTGAGGGTGGTTTTCCCACTGTTTTTGAGGTGA